TTTACACGAAAATATATAAATATGACTTTTATTAGCGACTTTTTAATTTAAATTGCATTTTAGTGAGATCGGTTGATTATACCAAAAATACCACATATGGAGCACTCTGTTACAGGGCAAAGGAACCACAATGTTGTCACATCAAAATAGCAAAAGAAAAAACAATAATATATGAACAATCGTTTAACAAATATTAAATTTCATATATAATTTTATATAAAAATCTGTCTGACCTTTAGTTGTCATTCTTGCAACGTTTACAGGAGGAGAGGAAGTACTCCAAATGAAGAAGAAACTACAGTCAATAATTTATTTATACTCCGACTTTTTCTTACGATTTGGCACTGTTTTCTTAAAAGAAAAGAAACAAAATTGTTAATTAGGTTTTATTGTTACAACTTAACATCGTGCCTGACGTGCGACAACTCGAAAAACGTATCAAGTCAGCCATTTTGGTTTATGTTTACAAAACTTTTTTAACTATAATTTGAAGTTAAAATATATAATATATAAGAAGCATGGAAAAACCACAATTACTTACCTATATAAATCATACACCAAGAAATGAATAGAAAAACCGTTTGCACAAATTATTTACACAAATTGTTTGTTATTTCAGAAACACTAAATAAATTTGGCAGCATTTTGGCCGGTAACAGCAACAACGGGCAACAACTGTTTAATCTTTCCTTATCTATAATGATGGACGCTTATGAAGTTGCCTAAACTGTATACCAACATTAAGAAAGTAAAATACAAAATCAGAAATATTTATATTGTAACAGTGTGCCCCATTTCACCTTAATTTTCTTGTAAAAAATATAAAGATAAAAGTTTATTGTTTGATAACAAAATGTTTTTGAAATTTATACAAAAAGTTTAGATCAAATAGTGAAACTGGAATGCTGGCGCACGAAATACGTCTGCATATTATATAATATGAATAGCATCAAATACGTAGTGAAATATAAATATGTAAGTAGATCCTTTCAGTGCATGTTACTAAAAAAAAGCAATAAATTCTATTTCATATTAAAATATTAATAAATACACGAGTGTGTTATTTAATATTATTGTCCCTTGCCGCCTCATATGGGGATATAGCTCAGTGGTAGAGCATTCGACTGCAGATCGAGAGGTCCCCGGTTCAAACCCGGGTGTCCCCTAACCATTATTTTTAATTTTATTTAACAACAGCATATAATTGAATATCATAAATGATTATACTTTCTGACAAAAATCAAGTAATTGTTCCATATAATACCTTCATTATTGTTTGCACAAACTGCCGAATATCCAGATTATCATTGTTGGATAGGATACTTGTTTCTGAACTCATTGTATGTTTTTGAATTATTCTGATTATTATCAGTTCATTGAAATTTGTTACAAAAAAATTAAAATAAATGCTGTCGAACTATAGATCACTTGGATAAAATGATTTCTATTGAATATTAGAGCACTTGCTGGACAAGTGAATATCAAGAAGTTACATATTACAAATTATATACATTTGGTAAATTTAGATTGATGATTGATTGCTAAATTCAAAACATATACAAAAATAGAACACTTTAAAAATATTCATTAATCTATCAAAAGAATTGAGTGAAAAGAATCTTTGAAAATATGAACACACTGCAATGTTTATTAAGTAATATTTATATTATATTTTACAAATGTTTCAAGACTACAGTTTATCTCCTCTTCAGTGTAAATACAAAATATTTAGTTCATAGTATACTTAACATGTGAACATATTTAAATAATATTATTTACACTGACAAAGAGACAAGTGTAGTCTCGAAAAGCTTGTAATATTATTATTAAATGCAGTGTGTTCATATTCGTATTATATATATTTATATATAATATATGATAAGGTTTTTAAATCATATAATGTTTCGAGTTCGAGTTTCGAACTTTAAAAGTCGAATTAAACAGTATCAAGATATATATATATATATATATATATATATATATATATATATATATATGTCAGATTATTTCTATATCAAATATTTCTCAGAATATTTGTAGATTTATGTTTCATAATATCAATCAATGTAAACATCAGGTAAATAAACCAATCAAAAACTTACCCTTATGTCTGATAATATTCATAAATAAATGTAAATGTATAAATCGAAGACTTGCCCTCCATACATTGAAGTCACACTTTAACAACAAAATAAACAACCACATGTATGATATACACAAAATTCACTTTACTCATGAGTATTACTAAAAAGTTTTACTGAAAAATCCAAAGAACTAAAAAATTTAATACTGTATTATTAGCAAGAGATTGAAACATAAGGATTAATAAAAATAAAAGCATATTACAAACTAAATGATCACACAAACACCAAAACAGTAAATGCAAACTAAATAACTTCTTAAGACTGAAATTATCATTATATTATATTCATTCTTCCAAAATGTCTAAATATTTCATATTCAAATTGGTCAACCTATAGATGATTTTATTTCAAAACAAAAATACTCTTTGTATAATTGAACATCATACTTGATTTAAAAAATTGTGGCAATCAGCCAATGAAACGATTTGCTTGCAACCACATGTTATATAAATTGTTTTTTAGGGGGTAACACCACTATAAGTTTTGATTTAATTCAAATTCATGCTAAGCACACAGAAATGCAATATTTTTAAGTTATTTGAATATCAAATTATTTTTCTTACTTTTAGTTAGTTTTCTTAAATTTAGTTTTAAATATAATAAAGTTATCATATCCTTTTACCAAAAAAGGTCACAAAGACAGGTTTTTAGGCTGTAAAATCCCATTATGAGAGGTTTTTAATTTCATCGATGTTATTACATGATCACAGCAATTCTGAACAAGCAGAAATTAAAAGGGCATAATCAAAAATATTTTTTTTTATTTGAGAAAGTTTTTATTATGTTATATTTAACATAGAATTAGGTCTATTTATCCTTCTTAGCCGCTTTAACACTTGCTTGTTGTGCTTTAAGAACTTTTACGACTATTTTCTGTTCTTCAATTAGGAAAGCCCTGACGATACGTTCTTTTACACACTTGTGGCAAAGTACTCCACCATATGATCTACGTACTGTCTTCTTTCTTCTGCACATTCTGGATCTTTCCATGGGCCTGGCAGGCTGAATGCCTCTGAGCTTGTCTTTGCATTGTCCACACCTATAATCATATTCGTTAAAGTAATTCAAGAAATATATTGAAATTAAATTAGTATGAAAGTGTAGTAACACACTTAAATATTTAAAACTTTTGTCATATGCGATACTGAATACATCAATTTAGTTGTAACAGATTTTTATAAACGCATGAAACAAATATGCTATTTATACTTTAAACAAAAATTATAAAATTATTACCTGGGGATCTTCTTGGGTTTCTTCAAATATTGATACACTAGTTTACCACCTGGAGTTCGCACACTGAAAAATAAAAACCATTTAGAAACCTAATATTGAACACACGAATAAAGCACTTAATTCAATATTTGTCAGCAGAACATTTGTCATCAATATTAACAGGACTCTAGCCAATAATTCATCATATAAAAGTAAAAAAGAAAAGTGAACTGTTAAATGTCAACATAACCTCAAATTTCATTAGAGGCAAGAAACAAAGGATTCATAAACTACATAGCAATTATTTTTACATTGACGTTTAATATATATTAATTATTGTTACACTTACACCCTCCTCCTGTTAGATTTTGTGTTGTACGACAAACGTCGTCGGTATACTAAACGCTGCACCATTTTAGATCTACAAAAACAATACGAAAATTAAATTCACAAAACGATTAGATTTCAATAGTATCATATGCTCGACATCTCATAATTAATTTACACTTCACACAAAACTCGATTTTTTAAGATTTAATAAATTTAATAAATAATAACACAAACCTATCCCAGTGTTGGAACGGAAAAGGAAATCCGAAAGACTTTTATGTCACTGAGTGACAGAATCTACTTATGCGGGCAACTTCAAGAACTTGAAACAGATGATGACAACATTCGAAAATGGAAATATATACTTGAACTAAATTAGGTGGCGGGCAAGCTTGGAACTGTCGCGATTGAAATAATGAAATTTCCAGAAATTACTTTCTTTAATATCGAATTACAGGCACAATTTGGTCATACTCAAATTATAAAAATATATTGATGAATATTATTTGTTTAAATTTAATTGCAATCTATTTATTGAAAACAATATATTGGCAATTACTTTTTAATTAGTTAATTTCACGACAAGGTCTTGAAAAAACTTTTATTGTCATTTATATTTATTTGCAGGCAATTATATTTTTTGTAAGGAGATATAGTTAATTGAGAAACAAATAGATAATTTTTTGTACTCCAATTACATTACTCGTACTCTAATTACATTAATTGTTGTTTGGAAGTTTCCACAGGATTATTGTTATTATATTATTGAGTACTATAAAAAAACCTTTTCTTAGTTATCAAGTATAAAACAACTTTCTCAAATAAATGTTTAAACAGTACAACATAGATCAAAAAACGAATATATGAGTACAAGCAGTACAAAATATCTATTGCTTAAAAAATAACGATCTACCCTCTATTATTTTATAGAAATATTTGAAAGAACTTGATATTATTAATTTAAAACATAAAAAGGCACAAACTACGTCAAAACAAATAGAAAATATTACCATGAATAGCCATACAAGAAATACCATATTTTACCACAGAACTAATGCCGTGTTGTGCGACAAATCCGCTAGGAGAGGTGTGCCCGGTACCTAATATTTAATAAAAATAAATACCCTAAATACCAAATGTTTTTTAAACAAATTAATTTTCACTATCAATTTAAATATACCTTAATTTAATAAAAATACTGTTTATTAACTAATTTAATATTTACTTATCATTCCTTTGAGTATTTTTAAATCTTTGCTACAGTTGGTCATACTGACACATTTCTTTGCGAATATTCCTTTTTAGCAATTTCTGTCTTTTCTCTCCCGTATCTTCAGTCTCGAGAAAAGCCACGTTTTGATTGTACAATTTATTTTCTAATAAGCAAACGAAATGGCTTTTGGTGATGTGAAAACTGAAAAGGGCCAACAGGCCTTAAACACCTTTTTAGCTGATCACAGTTACGTCGAAGGGTAATATATTTAAACCGACATAGTTAAATTTTAACCTATATTATATTCTTAAGTTGATTTATTTTATTAGATACGCGCCATCAAAAGCCGATGTTGATTTATTCAATACTTTGCCAAAAGCACCAGGTGCTAACTTAGTACATTTAGCCCGTTGGTACAGGCATATTGCTTCGTACACAAAATCTGGTGGAGACTCAGCCGGTTTCCCAAGCCTTACTTGCCCACTGGCAGCTGGTGCAAAGACTACCACACAGAAGGATGATGACGATGATGATGTTGATCTCTTTGGAAGCGACAATGAAGAAGATGTAAATAATCTCTCATTTTATCTATGTCTATTTTGAGTTGAACTTTAAGCATATTTTTTTCTATCAGGATGCTGAAGCAGCTCGCCTTCGTGAAGAAAGAGTCAAGGCCTATGCTGACAAAAAATCAAAGAAACCTGCTTTAATTGCCAAATCCTCAATCGTCTTAGATGTCAAACCATGGGATGATGAAACTGATATGAAAGAAATGGAAAAGGTAAAAAAAAAACTTCTTTGCAGTCATAATGAATTTTAATGATTGAATATATAATTATTTCAGGTTGTTCGTTCCATTGAAATGGATGGCTTAGTTTGGGGAGCCTCAAAGTTAGTCCCAGTTGGTTATGGAATAAACAAATTGCAGATTATTTGTGTTGTAGAAGATGACAAAGTATCAATTGATTTGTTGACTGAAGAAATACAGAATTTTGAAGATTTTGTGCAGAGTGTTGACATTGCTGCCTTCAATAAAATTTGATTTGTTAATTAAATTTTAATAAATGCGTTGAACTAATATTGTCTTTAAAGTAGTAAAACTTACAATTTTAAAAGTAATTCCAGGATTATAATCTGCGTTATGGAACTTTAATGCTCAATTATGCTCCATGAAAACTTGGTGACTAACTTTTATTATATATCTTACAATGCAATAATTAATTTAAAAACATTACAATTTTATATAAAAATTTTAATATACTTGCAATAACACTCCACAAGTTCAGATCATAATTTAAGAGTATCTAAACTTCATATTTGTTTCAACTAAGTTTACATATTTTGTTGCCAGTGCAAATATTATAAATCAGGGTGTTTTAAAAATTAGTTTAGTTTAAAAATTTTAATATTGTGTAGGTACCAAACACATGCTTATTATTTTTAAAAAAATCATAATTTATTAAGGGGCTGTTGAAGTATTACGTAAGCACTATAGGGGGGCAGGGGGGTTGTTTTGTTTATTTTGGGTTGTCATGGGGGGCAGGGGAGTCTGGATGATGATTACGTCATAGGTAGTATTTTTATTTTTTTACATTAATTGCAACAAAATGGGGTAAATAATTGTAATAAATCTGCTTACATAATACTTGAACAATCCCTAAGTAGTATTACTAATTTTATTAAATTAATAGTACTAAAAAAAAATATTTAATACACTGATCTAGATAATATTTGCAATTTTACAAAATTATTCACATTGCGACTGAAAGTAAACTAAAAATTACATTTTTAGAAATCAAAATCATATTTATTATGAAAATATTTTTATTTATGAAAAAAATATTCATGCAAGCATGAGCATTGTATACACAAACAATTATCAAAAATATTTGGAATTTCATCAATCTTACAAATATATAAATATAAACATAGGTACTATATATCTAGAAAGTTAACATCAACACACAATATTAGTCAACAGATTATTAAATTGAACAAAATGTGGGCATTTGAAATAATCACATTTATATAGTTGTCAAAAGAAAAAATCATGTTTAAAACGATGACAAATTGTTAAATCTATCAGCAATATGATGTTGCTTGATGGATGGATAAAAACAACAATGAATTGCTCAACATATTAAATCCCACACTAAAATTAAATTTGCTTAATATTAAAAATCAGTAATAAGAAATCTCTTATTTTATAAAACTAATGATAGGTAATATTAAAAGATCTAAGCAATGATTATTTTATCCAGCTGGGCCAATTAAAAGTTACCTATGTTTAAAAACAGTACTATGTATTCGATCATAGATAAAATTTAATTGGTATTTCCCAGTTGGATACCTACATCCAGTAAATCATGCAAAAATAGTTACTTAATCTAAACAAATTCAAAATTTCATTCTAAATTCATAAATTAGTTATTGAAAACATTTAAACAATAAATATTAAATTTAACGAAAACTAAATACCAAATCAGTTTGAAGAACTTTAAAACTTGAAATTCAAAAAGAAAGTATTATTGCATTGTCTTTAGACTTGACTATCTACTATCAATATGAAACACTCAGTCAATCACATTCGAGGTACAAATAAATTCAGTCATTTTTACATACCCTCTATTTCAGGATATCTCAAGCAAATATGCTAAGTGATCTTAGACCTAACTAAAAATTATCACAGGTCATTTCGCAAAATTGAGTTAAATTGGTTCAAAAATGAAATCAACATTATCACAAAAAATAAACAAAACAAATAGTTACTTGCGTCATTGGTATCATTTGGAAGGTACAGCATAGATTTATACTGAGGCTCATTGGTCTATAAGATGTATCACAAAAACTTTAAGGCCAGAGGTCAGAAGAAGAAAAGTGGCGTCTCTCTGCGCCTGGTGCAACATTTAATGAAGTCATATTAATATCACCAGTTGAATGCAATGGGCCACGTGATGCTTTGTTGGTGTAATCAGCAGCGGCCATTAGCATGCGTCGACGAGCTCCCCAAGCTTTGATTCCGATTTGGATCAAATCATGTTCATTTAGAGAGCAGAATGTCTTCAGATCAATTTCATGAGATTCAAATATTTCTGTAAAAGTATAGAAATGTAAATAGTTGAAACAAATAAGGTAACAAAGAAAATTTATATACACATTTTTTTATTTGAAAGATAACATTCAGTATATGTACTTGCATGAATAAGTTCATGCTTATTCATTACAAATTAGAATCATGATTATAGATCTTAATAGAACTAACCAATATATTTTTCAAGACCATTAGCAGCCAGAAGAACTGACAAATCATTCTTATTCATAACTTCGATTTGACTACCATGATTAGTTACATTTCCTGGACCAGTCAACGAATTTCTCATTGGAGAAGACATGGTGACTTGATGTGTAGGTGCCCAAACATCATCATCCTCCGTAAAAATAGATTGGAGACCTAAATGACATCAAAATAATAGAAAAATATATTATGTAAGATACTTAAAATATAAATGGCATGTTAGTTTAAACAGCTGTGGTATTTTCAATAATTTGGTAATATTAAGTATGTAGTAAAAAGCTAAGTACATTTATAAGTATTATAAATAGTACACACTAACCTTGCGAAGTTTGACTGAACCCATATCCAGCCCAGTTGGAATTGGGAATTCTAAGTTCTCCTGCTGGAGGAATATTCAAAGCTTTCAAAGCCATCATTTTCATTCGCGCCATTTCTGGAGTTATTCCAGATTCTGTTTTAGTAGAATTACCAATAGTTTTAGATAATCCTTTGGGAGTATTCATTGCCTGTTTAGTAAGAAACAAAAATATAATGTACATAATTTATAAGAATTATTCAATGTAGAATAACCGCTACAAGCAGATTACTTGCATGTGGATATATGATTACAATTTGATTGAAAATAATTGTTCTGAATTTATGTACCTTTTCACATCCAGGAGCTCTTCTATCCGTAGTCGACAAGTCATACATTGAGGCAGTGAGATCATTTATGGCACTAGTAGAACCGACTCCACTTGTGGATCCAAGAGAGCTATATTGCGAGTGATGATTAGTAGTAGAAGTAGTTGATAGTGATCCAGGAGAATTATTTCTTGGACTGTTGGATAAAGAACAGCTAGAATTTGGGAATTCTAATGAATTGCTGCTACTACTAGTATAACTCTGGTATCCTGATGAATCTTGACTAGAATCTACATTACTCAGTACGCCAATTCCCTAAAATTGGAAATAAAGTTATCATTTGCTCATAATAAACACCAAAAACAATAATCAACCATTAGTTTGTAAATATTATGATTAATGTATTAAAAGTTATTAGAAGTAAATCTTAAATTTATTAGATTTAATAGTAAAACTTACTTGCAATGATCTCAGTTTAAATGGTTGAGGTATACTTGAAGTAGGTGAAGCTGCTGTTGGTAAAGCAGTTGGTAGAGCATAAGTAAATGGACTACCAAGAGGATTCCAAGGCAATGGCGACAAAACAGGTGATAATGGTGGTTGTGATAATATTGGAAGAGCAATGGTTTCTGCACCACTCGGTACATGATATGATGGGGGTATGTCAGCTACAATTCGTGGTTCAGTAATATTCAGAAGTTTGTTACGGGCTTCATACATTTTTGCTAAAAAGAATAATGAATAAGTAATTGTTATGTTATATAGAATTAAATATTAACATATGAATTTGAAATGGACTTACTTGCATTTCTCTCAATGCCTTTGATAATAACGGACATAGTATTCTGTTTGGGTTTATGACGAACTTGAATCACCAGATCTAAAGATTTCATTAAATTATTTATATTATCTGGGTCAGTCGTGCCTACGTTATCTGGCAAGTCAAACATCATCACAAGAGGCAGTGAACCCTGTTAATAAAATCAAACATAAATACATATAAAAGCAATAATTTTAATTTGACAGAGTTGAGTTAAAAAAAAATAGAGTGAGCAACTCACAATTAGCTGTTGCCTAGCACTATAAACCCCATCAATGTTTCCAATTATTGTCACACAGCTGCGTCTCAAAGATGGGATGTTTGGGTCTAAAGCATCTGGAAACATTATCTGGGTTTGAGTGCGTTGCATGATTCCTTTTAATTGCAGTGAATTAGTCCCAAGAACAACAGCATGATGTTGGGGTGAGATCTCGATAGTCATTTGCACATTGATCTGGCTCTGAGAGGAAAAAAAATCATAATCCAGGTTAAGCAAAAATTCTAATAATGGAAGATTTCATTTTAGATGAGCACAACAAAATTAAATATATTCTGCATAAAATTTACATTAAAGTAATTTGTGAACTTACAGCGACAGAATCACACATGTATTTGATGAGCAACATGGTAGCCTTTTTCACATTAACCACATCACGTTCATGTCCTTTCACAACCACCAGAGTAGCATGTAATTTAGGCCGCGAACGAAACATTACCTATATAAACATAATAAAATATTTATAATTAAATATATATATTTTTTTGATTTATAAAAAGTATGAGAAATAGGCAAGATCAAGAAATATAGTTGATGAAGAAATAGGCAGTCTTAAGTGGTAGAATCAAAATAAATTTGAGATAACTTGTTAATCTAAAGATTAGGATTCCATATAATGTTTAATCATTTTTTTTTATTCAATATTGGTGTATTTATTAATTTTGAACTTACTTGCACATTGTATCCCTCCTGAATTTGTTGCACGCGAGGAGAGTTGAGATCAGGGACGGTCTGGTTGGCCCCAAGAACAGGCAACTCGAAACTGAAAATAAGTGGAGTGACTGCACGAAGACTAGCCCGTGCCTTCTCCACTCCTGCAATGTCGCCTGCGATTGAAACCTGGTTGCTTTTCTCGTTTGGATTTGAACGGTTCGAGTCAGGAAAATGTATGTGGCAGCCGGTTTCGTCCATTACTTTCTGAAAATATTAGATTCATAATTAGTTCTGAGCCACATTTTCGTGAAAGAAAAATTTGAAATGCTTACCTTAATCGTCAAACCCCCTTTGCCAATGATGTGGGAGTGTTCAGTGTAGCTCACGTCTAATTTCATCGTCACTCGAGCTCCCTGTTTTAAGATTTAAAATTATAAATAATTCATAAGAGAAATGGTATAAAAATATACATAAATACATACACATATCATACAGATGTACCCGCGCAATATACAGATATAACTCATATAAACACATCTATACATATGCATATATACAAAGTATAATACCCAAGGGTAGACT